CAATCTCGGGGGGGAGACTCCAAGTTCCTTGCAGAATGAGGCATGGTTCATAGTAACAGCCTCTACCTTCTTTTTGAAGAGGAAAATAAGCCCCAGAGAGGTGCAAACTTGCCTGAGGTCACACAGCTTCCAAAAGGCTGAACCCAGATTCAATGCCAGGCCGGCCAATGCCTTATCCCAAACTCTTGGCCACTCTGCCACCGGGCCTCCCACACACAAGAAAAATTCTGTCCCCAGCAACTTGTAAAGCCAACTCTAGCTCTGCACTCAACTTGGGAGCTCCCAGGGCCGGCCTGGGGAGGAGTTATAGGAGAGGAAGGGATGGTGGGGACAGAAGACCGAGCAGTTCAGTGACGTCACCCAGTACAAACCCTGAGACATTCCTAACGTTAGACCCTGGAGTAGCTGAGAACTCTCTAAGGATATCTCTCGCCAGCACCACAAGGGACACAACAAGAATACCAGCCAATGACAATAGCCCTTGACATTGATTGAGGGCTTCCTGCTTGCGGGCCCTGCACAGAGAGCTTCCCATGCAGCCTCTGCTTTGGCCCTAAGGACACTTCAAGGTCATTACCATTTTTCTCCTTTTAGAAATGAGGAAACTGAGGGCCTTGGGCTTAGCCATCTACTCTGCTCCTTCCAGAAAGAAGTCATTTAGCAGGGTGTTAGTGTGACAACCAGAACAGTTCAGGCACCTCTCCAAATGTCCCAGCTTTACTCCACAACCCAGGACCTTAAAAGGCATTACCAAAAGAGTCCTTCCTCGCAAAATCAGAAGGCAAGGATCCCGCTTCCCTCCACTACCTAGTAGCCGTGGCTACGTCTCTATCTCTTTCTGGGCCTCAGTTTCCCCACCTGGTCGGTGGTGGGGCTGGACTATCTCCAAGGACCTGAATGGATCTAGAGCAACACTGATCAATAAAAATGCAACGCAAGTCACGGGGGTAATGAAAATGTTTTTCTAGTAACCACATTCAAAAAAAAGCAAAAAGAAACAGATGAAATTAATTTCAATAATATATCTTCTCTAATTCAATATGTCTAGAGTATAATCATTTCAGCATATTCATAGGATTACATTCTTTTCATACTAAATCTTGGAAATCCAGTGTGCATCTCACACTCAGAGTGTCTCAACTGGAACCAGCCACATTTCGAGTACTCCACAGACACAGGTGGCCCGCGGCTGGGACGCTGGAAGATGCAGGTCTAGAATCTTTTTCCATCTCTGGTCCATTTCAAGGATGAGATGTGACTATTTGCTCCCTTCTCCTGGGAAAAGTGTCCTGACTGTAGACTGAGCTGGACACACAAGCCCAGGGCCAAGCCCAGAGGCCAGGATGGAGAGAATCCCAGGCCCAGCCGGCTCCAGGAGGCTGCTGGGGAGTTTCCTGTCTCTCTGTGGCCAAGTCACTCACCCAAGCCCCAGGGAAGGGGAGGAGGCACAACCCTGCATTTCCTCTTCACCAAAGACTCCCTTAACTGGGCCACCAACACACACACACAGGACATCAGCCCCAGGGCACAGGGACTGGTTATTCACACACAGGAGGACTGCAGACCCTCCCTGCCCACCGCTCACAGCGGCTCCCAGTGCAAGAGCCTGTTCACTCACTCCAAAGGCTCTGGTGGCCCCAGCGACCTTCTGAGCAGGGAGAGCTCAACACCTCCACATTCGAGGGTGCGGGTATGGGCAGGAAGGAGAGGGAAGGCCCGGGAAGTAAGGGGGCAGAGAGGGCAAGATGTTGCCCCCGTAGAAATAGGAAGGGGAATCCCTCCCTCTTTCCAGCCTTCTATTTCCTGGCCTTAACATCAATCACAGGAGATCTTAACAATGGTGGCTTTCCTGCTGGCTGCTCAGCGCTGGGCATGTCCCAGGCATCAGCTCGTTTCCTCCTCCTAATTATCTATCGTATGGGGAAAGAGGACCCCAGCAACAGAGTGGCGAATCAACTTGGGCAGGATCACACAGCTGGTCAGTAGAAGAGTCAGCACGCTCTTCTGAATCCAGAGACAAAACTCTTTCCTGTTCCTCTCTCCCATGTCTCAGGGTCCAGGACAATCCTGGCTTCTACCTGTCATAAGCATTATCTGTCGATAAATTCACTGAATGATGACGGTGACTAGAAATCCTAACTGAACGGCGTTTGGTCCAGCACCGTAGTGGATACTCTGAAGTACCATCCAGATTCCCCTTGAAGACTGAAGGGCGAAGACGGGCATGGTAGCCACACCTGTAATCCCAGCAGCTCGGGAGGCTGAGTCAGGAGGATCACGAGTTCAACGCCAGCCTCAGCAATGGCCAGGCACTCAGCAACTCAGTGAGACACTGTCTCGAAATATAATACAAAATAGGGCTGGAGATACGGCTCAGTAGTTGAGTGCCCCTGAGTTCAGTCCTCAGGACCAAAAAAAAAAAAAAGATTGAAGAGTGATTTCTCCCATCCCAGCTTCTCAGAGAACTGTCAGCTGTCCATCCTCGCTAATACGCTCTTGGCTCAAGAAAGCTGTCCAGACCTAGTCTTGCTCTTTTTTATTTGAGGATCACCTGCATCAGTGCTAAGGGTGTGACCTCCCAGCTCCGTCACCCCAACATGGGACATCTTTGAAGGTCATCTCCACTGCAGAGCACCCCCTGTGGTTGGACAGGCCTTTGCGGAGATCTTATTACTGCCCAGGGTCTCCCTCTACCCTATTCTGCTTCCTTCCATCCCCCATCGTGCCCACTCATCTTCATCTCAGAGTCTACTTCCAGAGAACTTGCCCACGACAGGACTGAGAACTACTGGGCTTCACTATCTGCAGCTCACTCCAAAGTACCTAAGTGGGCAGCAGGAGGAAAGAGGAGCAATCCAGGCAGAGAAAGCAGCATGAACACAAGCCCTTCAGCAGGAGGGACTGGAAAATATTAACAAAAGACCCGAGTGACCAGCACCAGGGGGAAAAGCCCAGGCCCAGGAGGAGAATGGTTGAAAATGACACTGGATAGGAGGGTGGAGCCAGGTGACAGAAGGCCACTCTCTAACTGGTTGATTTTGGAGAAGTCACCTTCTAAATGAGCTTTCTGACCTCACTGAGCTTACCTGTAAAATAGCAATAAAATAGTATCTCTCTTATAAGGTTGTTAAGAGGACTGAAGGAGTCAATATTTGTAAATCACTTAAAATAGCCATCACATAGTAGGTGCCATCAATGCCTGGAGACAACATTAAAAGATAATCTGAAGTAGAAGGAGAAGATGTAGAGGAATTTGAATGTAAATAGGGTGGGTGCTCAGGGATGGCAGACAGGGTGGGTGGGTGGGTGGGTGCGTGGTTGGGTGGATGGCTGGGTGAACATGGGTGAGTGGGTGGAAGTATAATGGATTGTTGGATGGAAACATGGTGAAGGAGGTGGGTGACTGGCTGATGGCAAGGTGGCTGGGTGAGGGGGTAGGAGGGGTGCTATTTCAGTGGATGGATGTGCAATGGGGATGAATGGGAGTAGTTGGGTGAATGCAGGTGGTTGGTGAATCAACCCATGGTTGGATGTTAGGCTGGGTGGCTCAGAGCAACTGAGTGAATGTGGGTGACAGGTGGATGAGGGACAGATACAGGGCTGCATGGAGGTCTGGGCAGTTGCATGGGTGGTTGGGTAGATAAATGGGTGGAGAACTGAATTGCTGGATGAGTAAAAGGAGAGACAGTTGGATGGATGGGGGAAGATGAGTAAAGGGTTGCCAGGTGGTGGTTCAGGTGAAGGTTAGAGAGGTCCAGTGGCTGGAGGTAGATGGGTGGATGGAAGGGTTAGGTAGACAGAGGGGTTGCTCAGGTGGGTGTTAAAGAAGGTACAATGAATGAAGGGCTTGGATGAATGTCTGGATGGTTGACTGTCAGTGTGGGTGCATGGATGGTTGAGTGGGGAGATGGTGGGTATTAGAAAGGCTGGGTGAATGTAAGAGTTAAATCAGCCAGGGTGTGGGTGATTGCAGAAGCTTGGGGGATGTATGAGAGTATGGATGGGCGGGGCAGGATGGATAGATGGTTGACGGGACAGAAGACCTACGGCAGGTGACACCAGCTACTAGAACCCCTCC